TCTCAGATCGGTTCCTTGGGAATGCATTTAGCATGGGAGACAGCGCAGTGCGGTGACTGCGATGCGACCGTACATGGTGGATGCTCCGTCGGCAAAAGTATAATATCATTACTGACATACTAGACGCATGCCCAGTAGCGACCTTCGAAGGTGAACGCGCCCTATTATGTTTAGAGCGACCGGTTTGGTGAGTAGAATTAAAATCCACTACTACAACGCACGCTCTGAACAAGGTTTTTCATGCTGTGCGCTCAGACACATTTTGGCGTCACTATTTCTTTTTCATTATGAAACTCCGGTGGGTAAAAGCAGTGATTCATTTAAGTTGCAATTGACTGACGACAACATAATTTCATATACCATCCAGACCTTGCGATTTATAGACTTAAAGGAATTTTGTTTCAGTGCCAGCACCAATACAGAAATGAGGATTCTAAATTTACTTCTCTGTTGGTAAAATTCACATTTCAAAAACATACGTTGGTGTTCTGGTTTGTCTACAGAGGCCCAAATATGGGCAGGATGTTTTCCTTAAAATGGCTTCGACAGCCTTCAATGGATTCCATACCACATAGGTATTTAGGTATTTTCAAGTATTTTAATTCGAAATTCTGTTTTCGAAACGCCGCAGAAATTATACACAATATTATCAAGCAACGAATGTGATCTTTCATTCTAAAAAATTTAGAATAAACGAAAAGAACATTGTTATTGCTTGAACGTTTGGCAACTTTGTCATGACTGCTTACAGACTAGCAAATGCATCGGTAACTGATCTATTTCATGTATAAGCGTTTATGAATACCAATGTGAGCTCATTGCCTAAATAAGCTATGAAGGAATAGGGCATGTTCTACTTATAGTGTGCATAAATTAAGTTTGTAAATTTAGTCTCTAGATAATAAAACCTCTCCGAATGTGATCATTTTATCACCTTTATCTTTGCCGCTTCGTTAGGAAATCGTTACTGTATACTAGTAGCCACCGCAACAACATCATTCTTTCTGGTCGCCGTTAGCTTTTTACATTCTTTCGCTGTCGTCTTTAATGATTTTTCCGTCATATTCATCACCGCCGCCAGTCTATCATTATGATCGCTGACATATTCTTCATTAATTTAATCAACGCTGCCACGGTGTTTTTAAACTGCCGTTGCCGCCACCTTCATTGACAATTTTCGTTAAGACAAGGGCTGGCAAGCGCCAATAAAAAATACCGTTGCCAGAAGAAAAACGTGACAACAATAAACCTATGGCAAGTGTAGTAGAATTTGAAGAACAAAGGGGCGAAATAGCAAGGCTTCAAGGGGATTTGCGTTTGCAAAGAAGCAACGCCAAAGCGGCCCTAGTCAAGTTACATGAGCACGTAGTGTCCAAAACCTCTTAAATTGCCCTGTAGACTACGTCTACAAAAGACATTAAAAGATGCAGCCAAACAAAAAGCTGAAGCTTTTCTAACGCATCTAGACAACATAGCTCATGTAATAGCTTCATTAGAATTTTTTTACAAAAGACCTGAAATATTGATCCGAGGCCATATCAAAAAAGGTAAAAATTATCTGCCAGTAAGATGGGTTTCGGATATTATTAAATAAGTAGACGGCGAGAGTTTACCATTTCAGCGGGTCGAAGCAAATATTAGTTCCGGGGCATCTCGCAAGGCGTGACCATAGCGATTGCATGGCCGACCCTGAATGGTATCCTGATGTGCGATGCACGTGCGAAAAGAAGCGGCGAAGGCAAGTGTTAGGAAATATCTTCAAGATTTGTTATAAAACAAAGAATAATTATTTTCCAGTTGCTAGATAGAGCAAATGTTTAATCACGCATGCATACACATATATTGAACTTGCTAAATAAGTGCTTGCATTTGTCCTTGGTATTTAGTACATATTTCCTTCTCCACTTACACTTTTCATACATGCATCCTCAGCAAGTATTCATACAATCAATGTAGCACATACATAAGGTAGTCTACACATAAGATAAGGTAAAACTTAAACAAAAATATGTTGTTATGGTACACAAAGAGATTTGTGATTTGCGAGGTAATAATCGAAATGGAGATTAACGGAAACAATCCGGTATTCCACGATAACGCTACCTGCTTTTTGTGCCTTTACCGGGCAAAATAATAAAAACAATCCGTTGGCCGTAAAAGTAATTTTCTTAAGACAAACAAAGCTCAGATTCTAACGACGAAACCGAAGAACCGACCATTTTACTTTAGAAATGTTCTTGAAAACAAACCTTCTGAAAATTATTAAGTTAAACCCTGGCTAAGAAAAATTGTTACAACCTTATAGCTATGTATATTGTATTTAAAGTTATAATAATAATAAATGAAAACGATATAAAACTGGAACATCTTAAAGCTTGGAAGCAATTTTTCATCGAATCTGAACAGCGTCCTTCAGATTGAAATTGTAAAAACTAATTTTCATTGCAAAGGAGTTAAAATACCTTGGCTATAAGGAGCCGTTGGAGCAATAAGGAGAATTTGCATACGGATAAGGGCGACTACAACGTGATACAAGAATGGGCATTCCCAAATAATCAACACGAACTACACAGGCGTCTAGGAAGTTGCATATATTACTACCTAATTTGCATGACCTCACCATTGAGAGCTGTCTTCGGTGCAGCGAGAAGACAGCAAACACATTCTCTATAAGTGGTAGGTTTAAAACCAATCTTAAAAATTACAAAACCTCTGTGTTCGGTACTAATACGAAATATAAGTACCAGAATATAATAAAAATAAAGACAAATTAGATGTTAGGAAGATAATTTTTAATAAAATCATAATAAGAAAGAGCGTAGCAAGAAAATATTTGGAGAATTTTTCGCATTTAGTTCTCTTTAATAAACTGAACACCTTTGCGTCAACGAATCGCTCACTTCTTACACACGTATACTCTACATCATGTATAATTTGTTCTAAGTTACATCACTTAAGCAAATTTTCTTTTTGCCTTTAGTTAATAGTAGCATTGCTCATTTATATTAATTTACAATTTTCTTAGGCTAAATTAATTTACCTCCGCTAAGCAGGCGTAACATTTTATAATAAATTGCGATATAAATATCTCCTCTAACATTAGATAAAATCAAGTCATTCCTGCTTCTGATATGGTTCACATACGGGTGTATTTCGTATTGACGGTAACCATTATTCTGCATTGTGAATGGTGTAAATGTTGAAGCCATTCTTGTCATTGCAAATAACTAGGTGTGTCTGTTAAAGGCCCATACTGAAGGTTGCTTTTGCCAAGTCTCGATAGTAGTTTCAATCAAGGACTGTATGATTTTCTTAAGCTTATGGATTCAGCGTTACTACTTGCTGGTGGCTCCCTTAACGGAGCCACTTTTGAGTTCAACTTTACCGAATTTTCAAAGCGAAAAAACCCTTAGCGATCACTAATTTGTATTTTGGACATGATGTACTAACTACATGGAGTGAGTGTGTGGATGCGTTAACGGATTCATTCTTTCTAGGGATTAATGATGTGGTGCCTCCTTGCTTTTATTTTCGTATGTTTGAAAGTAACTATACATATAAAGTAGAACACGTATATATAGATATATAAATATGCATATATCTTTAAAGTCTTTAAAGCACATAGCATGAAAATAAATTATCTTACACTTAAGAGTTTTTAAAACAAAGTTTTATAAACTACAAAGGACCAGCGGAGGGTAACTCGCATATATCGCGCCATACCTCTGGTTTACTGAAATCTCTTGCCTACGTAAGGGTCTCTCGAATTTATTGAATTCTAATACACGTACGGTCGGTCTATACTTACTAATAGATACAATCAAGTGGAGTGCATTGGCAAATGAAAAGTTATGGGAGCAAGTGCGTAGCGATTGTATTAGTGTATTAACGAGCTTTGATAGCAGTGTTATGAATCAAATAACGTAGCATTAATTTTTCTTAAAAAAATCAATTATAACTCAATTTTTAATTAAAATGCAAATTAAATGCAAAAGGCATGGTGCGAAAACTTGTACACATAAAAAGTACAGCTACTTTTAAATCCTTCTTAATATCTAAGATTAAAATTTTATAAATCGTTGGCTTTTTCCTTTACAATAGACAGAGCGGCATGGGTTTAGTAACATAAATCCTATTAAACCGTGTTCAATTTTCCGTAAATAATTAAAATAAGCCACATTGTGACACATATGAATTCGAGCGTACAAGACTCAAAGCGACTGGCACATTTTTATGAAGCTGAATACAACTGCATACTATATAAACTAACAGTTGCAAATTAGATGGTTCCAAATTTTTAAATGGTCCTAAAACAGAATGTATATGCTTCTTTAAAAGCAAAGTATTAAGTACATTATAAATAAAAACTATCCGCCTGAGTGGCCGAGTATGCAAGAGTCTCGACTTGCAACTTTAATGGTCGTGGGTTCAAATCTCAAGTGCCGTGAAGTTTTTAATAAAAGCCAAAAGCCTTAGATGCTAGTGCTTTAAGTGCTATATTCTTAGAATTTCTCCTCCGGGTAAATTTATAATAATAATAATAATAATAGAAACACATTAGAATTAACTACGTGCAAAATCAATTAAAGTATATCATATTCACGAGCCAATCAAAATATAACATATAATATAAAGCTTTCTTCTAATTATTCCCTAGGCGTCTTCTAACACTCAAGATGATTTTTGAATAGAGTAGTATTGAATTATAAGTATATTGACATTTTGGCAGCTCTGTTATGTTCATGAAGTGAGTAAAAAAAGTTTTCTTGTTTCTACGTCCCATTTTCGTGGGATAAACGCGGTGTTAACGTATTGTTATATTATAGTTGATAGTAAAAATTAAATTTATTTATACTTTTTTACCGCCTTTAATTTAACAGTTACAAATATGTTGGTGACAGGTACTCATTCAATTACAAACAATATAAATGTTTTAAAATTTTTTCAACCCAAAATAAATTTACAAGAAAGCTATTTTCATTAACGTGCATATCTTCTAGGTGGCGATTCCTGGTGCGTTATGTACTGTAGAAGACTATGTAATAATGTCACAATGTGCACACAACAAAGCTATACATTTAGCTGCAGAGGGAACAGTGTCAGCAGCAGACATTTCACAAACACGTAAGCCATAACTAGCTCTTAAGTTAAAATGGTGTAATAAAAGCAGAAGGATAATCAAGCAGCTGAAAGTTAGCTTTCGCTTTTGCATTCAACTGCTTTTTCCAAATAGCTGAATACAAAAGCGAAAACTAAATGTTTCATATTTGATTGACCTCGGATTTTAAGAATCTTTCTAATTTGACCTGTTGCATCTTAAGAATTCGTTCTGAAGGTGAACAAAGAAAAAAAGACACACTTTTTTAATAAGTTTTCTTAATAATTCTGGGATCTATTTACGATTCTCGTTATCGAACAAACATCGTTGTAAATATACATATTTGAAACAATTAGTGAACATAAAAAGATTATTTAATCTCGCAAATCTCAAAATGTTGGTCATATACAAACGACAACACATATAGCGTTATACATATAGTTTGCTCCTTTGCCTGTCATCGCAGGATATTAAAATATATATTTATTACTCAGGTTAAAAATAAAACGTGTATAAAACGTTAGACATTGAAAAAGCTGTATATATGTATATATATATTTTTTGGACACGGTACAAAAACAATAAGATCAATTGCTTATTTCCGATGAATTTGCCTTTTGACACCGGGGTACATGAATGTGGAACTTTTAAAAATACTTGTGTGCAAGATAAGTATTCCACAAATGCAATAATCAGTCTAATATAGGAAATAGAAAGTTTGTCATTTAAGAAGAAAAAGTTGTAGAATTAAAGTAAACCACTATATATTTCATAGAATTTATGACAATTAATTTTATGTAGTTGTTATTATTTTTAAATTGTTGTCAAGGCTTTTCACCTAAATTTTCTGTCTTTTCTGCCAAGGGCTACCCTTATCCCTCAACATCCTGTTTGGAGATTAACATGACTTCAATCTGCAGTTGCTTTACGCAAACTTACGCGTTGCGATAAGAATTATACGATGAGATCCATTAGTTTTTCTGCATGAAAATGAATTTGTAATTGAAATTGAAGCAAGTTTACGTTTTATTTATTAAACTTTGTTTTAAAAACATACCTTGCAAAAAGTTTCGAAAGCCAAGGAAAATATTAGCCAACGCGCACACATGTGCTTGCAAGCATTCCTACCGTAAAAAGTGCCACACCTTCATATATTTTTTACTGTCGCATAAACATATTCATAGTGAGTGGTCTTAAACAGAGAGAGTACACAAAATTCATTAAATATGCTCATTTCTACTTTTTTGACTCTTTTAAACCGATTGTCTAGATTGGATGGGCGCAGCCTATCGTGTAATAATGTTCTTGCATGAAAGTTGGTAACGAAATGATCCACCTTGTATATATAACGCTTTTGTACACATACGACGATCATATCATAAATATTACGTCATAAGTGCAACCAACGAGCCAAATTTTATATGAACGCAAATGAACATCATCATCCGAGAAGTGCTCGGTTTTGTGTTTTGTATCATAGGAAATAGGATATAATATTATGTTTTTATAGTAAAATTGGTTTGTGTTGCAAAAATTAGAACTAGTTTGGTTCCTTAGTTATATCATGTTTTCTGTATAAACATATGTGTGTTATGTAAAAAGTTATATTTAATGTACGTATTCTTAATTGAGGACATAGAAGGAGCATTAAAAAATTGTTTTGGTAAAAGAGAAAGGTCACTCAGTTAGAGTGCGAGTATAATAAGAAGTTAGAAGGTATTTCGGCGTAGCCAGTTACAAGCACCGTGCTTTGACATCTATAGATAATGTCACACCATTCGCCAAGCTTGCTTTAGCCACAGTTACTAAATTTCGAATACTATGTAATACGTAAGTCCTCAGAAGCAACAAGTAAATGTCTACAGTGCGCTAAACTTTTACCGCATTACATAAAGCCATCAGCTTTCCTCCATACACCTCAGGCCGCTAACATTTGCCATCATTCAGGGTAAACATGCGCGTACGTGCGAAAACCACCAACGTGTTTAGTTGACCGAGAAGAAATTCTTTTTCCCATCTTCTTTGTAGTACAAGCACTTAGTTATGTGCTACTTTATTACTTCTTTTTATACGGATAATATACGGATAATAATACTGCAAATCGTTTCCGAAAATATACATACTGCATAGCAAAAGAACTTTCGCCTACGTCCAAGGAGTTCTCAAACCGATTTCACATGATCATTTACAATATTTTACAGTGTTTCTATAGTACATGACATGTAATCGTTTAGTTTATTTAGCTTAGGGGGCAACAGTAATCTTTGTCTATTCAAAATTGTTTGACAGGTACCACTACAAAGATAGTCACACATCTTTGAATCGCACGCTATTCTATTGAGTAACGATTTTAACGCTCTTTTTGGGTATTCCAATCAATTCTGGACGTTTTTTCTTATTATTCATCTTTAAAATAACTCGCTGTTGCGATTAGGATATCCTTATCAATTATAGACCATATATGTTTCATTCCGTTCTTAAAATAATTCCACTGAAACTTTAAGAAATTTTATCCTGAAAATACTTAATAATACTTGGACGCTGCGATATAGCGCACTAACCTTTGAATACTTACGCATCGAAAATAAAACTTTCTCTAAAGAATCAAGCTTTATGTTGTCGCTTATGTTCCTCTCGTTATAACGATTTAATTCAAACGAGCGTTGTTGTTTACGCGTAATTTTGTCGTAATTTTCCGAATCGTGCGGTTACCTTACAGGCAACTTCAAATTGACGTGGCTTGCGCTTTGCCCAACATCAGCTATCGTGAAAATGTTCAACATGTTCTATTACACCAAAGTTTTCGTCCTCGCCAGACATAACTCCACTAAATGATGGCAGTATTCTGGTAACGCTGATCGACTTTAGATCGACTACCTTTTTTTCCTTATAAAAATTTACTTGTTAAATGAAAGAAATCTTCGATGAATGAATATTATGTATTGGCATTCTAAAGCTGGAATATAACTCAAGGCTTGCTTCCAAGGAATTTATTATTATATAACTAGGTCTTCAGTGTAGTTGTTGTTTTTTTTCTCTTTATTTTTCTTCAGCATTAGGGTGTGATTAACGATATAATCGAAGAAAGTTTGAATTAGTTTGAACTAGTGCTTTCCCGGAAGAAAAGAAGCGTCTAGGAAACAAAACCAGCAAGACAAGCGCGTAGCATGCGGCGGTTTAATTGGAGCTTCGATACGCAATATATTTCAAATCGTTAGATTTACCTTAATAATACTGTTACGGAAATGACAAATCCTGTTCATTTCAGCTAGGCAATAAAATCCCTAAAGAGGGAAAAACCAAATGCACATTCGCACCGCGTCGTGCGGCTGCCGGCCGAGGAAAAGGAGTACCAGAAAAGCAAGTTAACAAATTAAAAATAAAGCTATAAAAAAGTATTTTTTTTTTTGAATTCAAAGTTGTTTGCTGCGGAAGTCCATTAAATACGTTCGGATGCTTAAGATAAGGATCATCCATCGTATACCAATGGTAGGTTTCGGTCTCACCGGTCTAAAAGTGGTGATTTTGATGTCAATGGCAAAAACGGCCTGAGGAACCAGAGCACCCAGTTCAAACCTTGAAAGAACATTCGGACAGCTTAGCAGTTGATGAACCAATTGTTTCTAGACGTTTACATGCGGCGGGGAAAATCCTAAATTCATTGCTAGCTAAGCAAGAAAAGAGGAGCTTCCAAGCGCAAGAAGTCACGGGTTAGTCCAGGAGAGCCATGGAACAGTGTGTAATGTATCGGGTACAACTAAAACGAAATGAAACTATCACTGTAGATGTCGACTGACGTCGGTTGAACAAACTTAACAATGTGTTGCTGTAAAAAGATCAGAAACAGTGGCTAAAATGGCTACCACACGAATTGATTGAAAATGCCATTTTGGCCACTTGTTGCATTTCGATTAGGAAGACTGCCATAACCAGCATACTCACCATACATGACGCCTTCTAGTTACTACTTGTTCAGATCGTAGCAGCATGGCTTGGCCGGCAAAATTGAAGAAGTTTGGAAGTGATTCGCTGGTTGGATCGCTGCCAAACAAATATAAGTTTTTTCGACACGATATAACCAAGTTGCCAGAAATATAGTAAAAAGTTATAAAAGATGATGAAAACTATTTTGATTAATGTACATTGTACACTACTTCTACTTCTAGTATATTACTACTATTACTTTAAGATAACTAATGTAATAGACTACTTCCTACTTCCTCGAAAGGAATGTTTCCCGCATTTGAATTACACCGGAGAGTGCTTTTAAGCATTAACTTTCTTCCTATGACATGTTTGGCGAAATGCCTTTGGCACGTGGATATTGGCTTTTTGTTCAATTCGAGTCCTAACCAAGCCGCGCATGCTCTACCAAGCTCGCCCTAATGTGCGGTAAATAATTTACTAAAACTGTTTCATGAACTCACTTTGCATCCTGGGACTGAGCGGATAACTTTTCCATGAAAACCTATTCAAATATTAGCAAAAAATTTTAATAGACTGACTTTGCAATTCGTTCACTTTTTATACCCATGAGTATGAGGGTTATATTCCTTTCGTTAAAACATTTCAACGCCCAGAAGGAAGCGTCACAGATCCCGGAATATATATATGTATCGACTTCAAATTTGGCAAAAGCATTGGAAGTTGCATGCAGGTTGATATAGAAAATGTACCAAATGAATCAGAAGGCACGTCCACAGCGCCACGTAATCTGAGCACACATCTGTTTTCTTAAAGAAATATAAAAAATTGGTCTTTTCTTCATTACTCATAAACTATAGTAAAAATTTGAACACATAGTCTAAGGGTGATGTTTTCAATTAAGTATTGTTCCCTTCTTTAATAAATTATTCAGCTGTCGTGTTATGTTGACAAAATTTGTAATGAGCAACATACATTCAATTGAAATTGAATGAAATTATAATATATATAAATCTTCGCATATCGTCTAAATTTTTCGGTGCGGGTACTTTTTTGTAGTTTCGGATTTGTTGGGGTCTGGTTTTATGCCTTTAGAAGCTAT